GAGGAAAACAATTTAAAAGAGAAAAGATTTATTTTGGCTTCTAGTGTCAGAGGTTTCAGTCTGTGACTGGCTGGCTCCACTGCTTTGGGCCTGAGACAAGGCAGAACATCATGGCAGAAGGGCATGGTGGAGGAAAGATGTTTACCTTATGGCACCCTGGAAACAGAAGATGTGACTGGGGACAAGATATAGTTTCCAAGAGCATGCTCCAAGTATGTATTCCCTCCAAATAAGTTCCACCTCTTATAGTTTCCACCACCTCTGTTTTAGTCAGATTTTTTTGTCATGGTGATCAAAACACCCGACAAGAACAACCTAGTGGAGGAAAAGTTTATTGTTTCAGAGATTCGGTTCACAGATGGCTGGCTGACTCCATTGCTCTGGGCTCATGGTGAGGCAGTGCATCATGGCGGAAAGGCCCAGTGGAGGAAATCTGCCCAGTGCATGGTGGGGTCAGGTAGCAGAGGGGGAGAGGGGGAAGGGACCATGGGGGAAAATGCACCCTTCTAGGGCAAGCCCCCAGAGATTTATCTCCTTTAGCCATGTCCCACCTGCCTATAGTTACCACAGAGTCTGATCATTCTAGTTTGAAGAGTTTGATCAAGTTACAGCTTCATAATCTAATAATTTTGCCTCTGAATATTTCTGCATGGAGACACCTCATAGCCAAACCATAACAACCTCCCAATAATCCTCTCAGCTATGAATCCTTCAGTGGATTAATCCACAGATGAGGTCAGAGCCCTCATGACCCAGTCACTTCCCCAAAACCCTATCTCTGAACATTGCTGCACTGAGGACCAAGCCTTCACCACATGAGCTTCAGAGAACAGTCCAGACCCAAACCATAGTAGGCTCTAAAAGGTTCAAATTGTAAAGTCCCTATAAACTATCCTGGGCCGGGGAAACAACTGCCAGAGGCTGCACAGAGAATGTCTTCTTTGCAAACTGTTTGCTGGACATGAGCCTGGGATTCTGTCCGCTGCCCCTAGGAAGCACATTTCTAGACTTAGGGGACATTATCATTTAAAGGGATCTTCCAACTGCAGGAGTGGTCCTACCCCTCCCATCCATGTGCTGAACTCTCCCTTGCAGATCTTGGTTGCCATGAATAAAGATTGATCCATGTGCTTTCTTATTCCTGACAGTGACCTTAAAAGTCCTCTGCTGAGTCCTGATGTCATGGGAAGAGTCCAGCAATAGTGGCTCAGGCTTTGCCCTCTTGAAGCTTGGCCCACTCATTCAGATGTGTTGGAATGTCACTTCTTCCACCTAGCTTCTTATTCCCTTGTGTCGTCTGTATCACGACTGACTTGAAGCACCTGACAAGATATTTTTTGAATCTCTAGTGACCAACATGGATTTGCCATTAGCCTGAGGATAGCTAAATGGCCAGACTTCAGTCCTGTCCCAGCTCAGTGTTTGTAGTGGTGACTAGGATGGAGATGGAGGCATGCTGATGGAGAGCATGCCTCAAATTTGGGCTGGCTCAAAGCAGGGAGAGTGATACACATACTGGTAGATGAAGTTGGGATCCAAAATAGTCCCGATGGATTAGAATGAAAGTGGATGTGAACGACAGGAAACTGGGCAGTCTGGTCTCAGTCCAGAGTACAGGAACATGGCTTAGCAACAGCTTGTGGGAAAAAAAAGACTTGGGAGCCTCCACTGACCACAGCTCTGAAGTTTGGTGGTTTATTGCTCAGATGTGTTCATGCTCGGGAGAGGAATGAGCGTCCCTCTTCTAGGGTTCAGACTGAACTTAGAAGTATTCAGACTGGCTTGTTGAATTTTGATGGGGATCACATTGTGTTTGTTTTAACTGGTGTCTGCTTGACTTTTTTTTTTTTAAATTGTAAATAGACACAGTACCTTTTAAAAATTTATTTATTTATTTTATTTGGTGCCTCACAAATGCTAGGCATGTACTCTACCACTGAGCTACAACCCTGGCCCTCTGCTTGACTTTTGAGGCACATGAGTCCCATTTTCTGTTACAGGAATACCCACTTCTCCCCTGCTTTTCTCTCTTCCCATTACCTCATTGTGAGGGGAAAAAAAAAGAACAACAAAAACAAATAAACAAACAAAAAACTCAAAGTGCTTGTTCCTACTCTCTTTTCCATTCAATACAACACTCCTTACATCAAATGTCTAAGGGTAATTTCCTACACACCAGCCATTTCTTCAGTGGATACAAGCTGTGTCCTTTAGTCAGTTCTGAAACTATTTATCTGGAGGTTGCATCAAACTCATAGGCTAAGGCTTCAGTCCCCAAGCTGCCCCCCCCCACTTCAGATGCCAAATATATAAATATATGATTTTATTTATATATATTTTTATATATTTATTATATCACAGTTGTACAGTCAATCCCAGTCTTGATAGTTCTTCCTGATCCTTTATAGGGATGGAGCAGTGCTTAGAATACTGAAATCCTAGTTTTGAAGAGCCATTCCATGTTACTTCCTTCTGCCAAAGTCAAAGACTTCAGCTGGAGTTTGGGGGTGGGGGAGACACAGCTGTATCCCCAAGTCTCAGATTCATAGTCCCTGGAGGTGCTGTCTGGATTCCTCCTGCCCCTGTCCCTGGTGACTCAGCAGCTGGTGGAGAGGATGCATTTTGGCAGCTTCTCTCCCAGGCCCTGGCTCTGTGCCCTGGGAAGATTGTGCACTTCCTATCTGGCCTCCCTCCCCCTGTGTTCTCTCCAACTCTTGCTACTTAAGGGTCCTGACCTCTTTGGTCACCCCATCCCATAAGGAGCCACATGCCCCTGAGTCTCACTGACATTTAGGAAGTTACCACCCATCTGGGTGGAAATGTCAAATGCATTCCTTATGGGGCTCACTTTCTAAGACCATGCATGGACTCAGCCATTTCTCCTAAAGGATACTGCTCAGTTTTTCTAAGACTCTTACCCAATTGAAAGAGAAGAGGAAATGGAAACAGGGATGAAGTTTGCCTGGGCAGCCAAAAGTTTGTGTGTCGCTAGTCAAATGTCCTAACCCACTGTGTGCAGCAAGGCTACAGCACCCACCTCACAGTGAAGTGTGAAGACGGAAGGAGCTTCCACAGGTGCTAGCTCACGCTAGACACTCAGAAACCCCAAGTGGCCTTCCTTCCAGTCTTTTCCTCCAAAGGATCTTTGTTGAATATGTTGCATCTACAATTGGAGTTGTTGCCAGAGAAACTCCATCCTCAAGAGAGGTGGGGGTTAGACTGTCTCTAAAGTTCCTTCTGATTCTGCAATTCTGTGCTTCAGACATTTGGCCCATCCTAGACCCCACTCTGCTCAGATGCCAGAATTCTACTTGATGGTGCATATGTAGGAGGGGAGTTGTGGAGAAGGATGTCAGAGAAGGTGCTGGGGCCAAGGCACTTCAGCTGGAAAGCCATGGGCCACTTTGGACTAGTTTGGTGTCTTTAAACTGGCTAGATTCTGACAGACCCCTGTAGCTTTGAAGAGAGTGAGCTCCTGGTCACTAAAGGTATGCAAATAGAAGCTGCAGAGTGTCTGGCAGGATTCCTGAGGAAGTCAGGCTAGATCAGAGAGCCAAGAAATGCTGGGCTTTCATAATCGTGCAATACAACAACACTGCAGACAGCCATGGAGGTGCGAGGTGGCCTCACTGTGCTTTCAATGCTATGGAGTTTTGGAAAATACTTGGATTGTACCTGGGCTGTAATACATTCCTGAGTGAAAATTTATTCTGGAGTAAGGATTTTATAAAAAGAGATGAGTGTAAAAGCTTCATTGTTTATCTGTAATAATTAATATGATGGGGGTGTGAAGAAAATCTTGTTTAGCCCAGGGACTGGTAACCCTGAACTCCCACAGGGTTGCCAGGGAAGCAGGTCCTTTACTACTTGACTCAGGTGATGCCACCAGTCTTTCGTGCCTCACCTCCCATGTACCAGGCACTGTGATGTTCACTGTGATGTTCCCCAGTCTCCACCTGGGGAATGCAGAGCCAGTGGAGACTCTGTCTTTAGACTTAAGGAAGTTCCTACAAAATGCAGTGCCCAAATGAGCCATGGAGGAGAGAAAGAAGCCTGGGATAGGCAAATATATTATTTTGCCAATCTGAATTTAAGTTGAAGGTGGGGGAAGCTTGTTGGAACTTAGGAAATGTTCGTAGTTGTTTTTAGTACTGTAGGAACACAAGGAACAAAGAGAAGTATTGTGCTGTTACCAAAAGAGACTCCAAAAGATTTTATCTGTAACAGTCTTAGGAGAGTCCCACTTTGCTAAGTGGAAAGAAAATTGAATGGGAGGGAAGACAGTACAGAAGGGACAGATAGATGATCTTGGGACCCAGTGGCAAGGTGTCCGGGGGAGGTGGTAGCTCAAAGTCAGGAGTCAGCAAAGAAACATGGCCTGATGTGGACTTACATGGATCCAGGGCCCTCATCTTTACAAAGCCAAACCATTTGGTAACAAGCTGGATTCCATTCCTCTTCCTTCTAAAGAGCTTTACTATGGCCATCATCTTATTCTGACCCCTCCTCTTCCTCCTCCTTCTCCCTACCTCACCCTCACCCACTGGAGTATCACAGTAATAGAAGTTCTCCTGTCTTTAAAAATGTCTACCTGCCACTCCATGTTCCCCTAGCTATGGCCTCATTCTCAATCTCCCTTCATGGTCTCTACTTCCTCTTCTCCTGTTACTCATACTCATTGGAATTGTCCCTGTGCCACTTCATTGTCACTATGCTTGTCAGTGTCAATAGTGACCTCCTTGTTGCCAGACCCAGTGGACACTCATCCAGCCTCGTCTCCCTCCATCTCTTAGAGCTCAAGATAGTTGATTATTTTCTTTGTTGCTGAATCCTTCTATGACCCAGGATTTTTCTTCATTCTATTGCAGTTAGTGATCATTTTCAGACTCTTTGTTTCTTTTTTTGTTTTTGTTCACATTTTCAAGTGTTAGAATTGTTGAGAGTACCAGGAAAAGCTCCCTTGTCTATCAAACTCTCTAGGTATGGTCCTTTCAGGCATAATGGCTGTAAGTGTGTGTGTGTGTGTGTGTATGAAAATTTCAGCTGTGACTTCCAAATATCTTACTCCAGTCTCACATCTTCCTGAACTCCTGAGTTGCATATGGAACAGAAACTCAAGCTCTCCATGAGGATTGTCTCACAGACTACTCCAACTTCACATGACTCCATTCTTCCCAGCGCATCCAGGCCTGCCACAGGCTACTAATCCATTGCATTCCTTTCTAGTTTGTTGCTTAAGCCTCAAACTGAGAAATTATCCTGGATTCCTCCCCTTTTCTCCCTCATCAGCAAGTTGGATGGTTCTAATCCAACCACCTTACTCCATCTCCCTTGGGATGATGATTCTAGTCCAATGAACCATCCCTTTTAACCTGTTAGTATCAATGATTTCATTTTACCTCCTCTAGCCCACTAAGCAGTCACTGTTGTTTAAGTAAAATTGTGTGATTCCAGCCATGGTCTCAAGGTTTTGAATGTCCTGGCTCTTTCTCTCCTTCATATCTCCATTTCATGCTGCTTGTCCACACTGAATCCAGCCACACTGACCTCCTTTCTATTCTTTAAATTTGTTGGCCTCCTTTCCACTTTGGGGCCTTGGGACTTGCTCTTCATTTGGTAGAAATACTCATTCTTGGCTTTTTGCAAAACGGGCTCCTTTGAATGCTTTAGAAATTAGCTGAAATCATACCTTCTTGAGGATCCTTTTGCTGACCATCTTATCTAAAAATCAAGTATCCCCTCCCAATTCTATTCTCCTATTACCCAATTCTTTCTTTTACAGCATTTCAAACTTTAATTTTCTTACTTATATGCTTTAGGTTATTTTATTATGTATTTCCTCCACTCCACTAGAAGTAGCTTTCATGAAAACAGGGACTTTAGCCTTGTTCCTCATTGTATTCCAGGCATATGGCAGGTGCTCAATAACCATGTACTGAATGCATGGTCAACTTAACATAAGTATAGTCTTGGAAGGTCCTCTACATTCAGAAAACTGTTTTAAGGTAATGACACTTGACTGCTCCCAATCTTTGATAAGTGGATCTGTCTGTGACTTTGTACATGGGAACTAAGGGTCTAATGCCTGGCTTCATTATGATAAGCAGGTCTCTTAACTCTGACAACCTGAGTTAATTCATTTATAAAATAAGAATTTTGACCTAGGATGACTTCTGCAGTATCTTTAAGGCATCTAAAATTATGATTCTGGTAATCGTGAAGCCAGTAGAGACAAATTAAGAATAGTGGTGCTAAATTTTTCATGCAAATTAAATTCAATAAGAAAACCTTGAAAATTCTTAGTGCTATCTAATCTAGTGAAGTTAGATGGTCTCTGTTCCTTGACAAAACTACTGTGTGTTTAGTTCTCATTTTAAAGTGCAGTACTCAAATGCATGTTTTTTGCTTCAACCAAAGTTTCAGCTGTGGTTTTGGAATGAGATCCATGGGGCAATAGAAATACTTCTGCTCCGGAAGTGTACATTTGTTCCTGACTCATCATATTTGCAGAGATCCATTTCCTTGGAGGAATACCTCTGACCTCTTACTCTGTTTCTTTCTCATTCCTTCCCAAGCAGGGGGAATGAGGTTCCCAGTTGAGGGGATAGTCATGGGTCCATGTTTTTCAGTTGGACAGGACTAAGCATTGGGGATTCCATCTCCTTTTTGACTTTCCTTCTTGAATCAATCAAGGAAGAAATCTTGGTAATCACTCTGCATCCTTTAAATTATCTTGGATGGGATCTATCAGTAAGGAGGTGGGTGGCTTGATAGTAACAAGTCTATTAATCATTCTGTCCAAGGCATATTCCCCAACAGGGGTGTCCTTCTCCTTGAGTCCTTTTAAACAGCAATCAATGGGACTTGATCTAATGATTTAGATACCAGGGTATGAGCTTTCCATAAACTAAATGGAGTTTTTCTGCAAAAGTCACATTTATGTAACCTCGGATTTTTATGTAAAGATAAAAAGTATTAATAGAAAAAAAAACTCTAAGTAAATCCACCAAAACAATTAAAAGTAGTTCTCATAACTTGAAAGGATTATGGGTGAATTTCGCTGTCTTTTGTGGTAGTCTGTATTTTCTTAAGTTGCTATAATGGACATGCCTTTCTGTTAGTGTGGGAAAAAATTCATTTCCCAGTTTTACTCACACATATACATACACACACAAATAATAAAAGAAAAAAGGAAAGAAAATGTACTGTAAAAGCAATATGGTTGCAACAACAAAACTTAAGCAGTTAACTTCTCTGTGGCTGAATTGCCGAAAGGTGGGGAGCAGCAGGAGGAGGGCAGTGGAATAGTTCCACTCCTGTCATTTGAGAAAGACCAATGTGATATCCTGGTCTAACAGTGTCCCCAGCACAGGTGCCTGATGTGCCCCACCTTGGTCTTTGCCAAGACAGGGCACTTCCCTTTTCTGAATGCAGAATTCTGGATTCTCTTGGAATGTCCTTTTTAGAATCTGTCCCTTAGGAGGTCTGCCCTGGAGCCTTTTGTGTAACCAGGTGACTTTGCCTTTCAGACCACAGCAGAGAAGTCTCCTGGAGCCTACTTCCTTCCTGAGTTTGCACTCTCTCCTCAGGGAAGTTTTCTGGAAGATACAACAGGGGAGCAGTTCCTTACGTACCGCTATGATGACCAGGTAAGAACATTGCCAAAGAACCTGCCTTTGATGTTCCATTTGGCCATTGGCGGATACTCTCTGAAAAATGCCTGCAAAATAATTGTTTTCCCCTGAGCAATACCAATACAATAGACCCTGACACTCTTGAAGGATCCCAAGACTTCTGGATGGCCATGTTTGCATATAATGTTCTATACCAGGTACGGTTCAGATTCTGGTTGGGTCATTTGCTTCACAATCACTTTTTCTTACATCTATAAAAAATATGGGTTCATTCATTTCAGTTATCACCAAATTTATTATTCCATGATGAAATTTTTTGAAAGTATTATTTTCTGATTAAGCATGCTTCTTTTACCTCTTAGCTTGTACTTTGTTTCTTTTGTTAGTACCAACATAATTTTTCCAAGCCCATTTTCCAGAAAGGAACAAATGTGTGTGTGTGTGTGTGTGTGTGTGTGTGTATGCATGTATGTGTGTATGCATTTGTGTGTTTAAATCTCTTCATGAAGGCTAACTAGATTAGAAAGCCATGCTAGCCTGAGCTACAGAAGCTGGGCACTAAGAACAATGATTTCCTTCCATTCCAAATTCACACTGATTATCTTCATAGCATTCGAGATTATGAATGTCTTTGAGACACTTATACCTCACTGAAACAGAGAATGTTAACTTTGCCAAATGCAAAGGTTTCTAGTTGAGAGCCTGAATTCATGGGGGCCGTGGAGCAGACTTGGGTAGGATTTAAGCCCATGGAGGACTTTGGGGGATCTGGCAGATCTTGGTAGGTACAGACACAAGAAGAAATGAGGAGATGGGCACAATTACCTTGTCACGCACACGCTGGCTTGTAGGGAGCCTGCCTAACTATTGAGGCCAGCTATGTTGTCCTGAGCTACTTTCTCAAAGGCTAGCACATTCTTGTTTGATTTGGGCAAGGCCTAGTTAGCAGGTAGAAGACTTTATTCACAAGGGGCAACTCTAAGAAATTTAGTCTGCCCAACATGGGTAGATGTTAAGATGGGACTGCAGGGAGAGGGACCTGGCTCTGGGACTGGTTAGCACTGTATGGGGGCTGGAGATTAGACTGGGAGGAGGACTGAAGTCTTGCACAGCAGAGCAGGCAGATGCAGGGTGGAGACATTTGCCCAGAACCATGTCCCAGTTCAGAGGATGACACAAATTTATTCTGATCTGAAGTCTGCTGATAACTGACCTACAGTTTTAACTCTGCATTTGGGTTGGGGGTGAGGACCAGGGCTGTGACTTCACAGATTACTGTGAGTAGGAAGCCACAGTGGGTCACTGGGGCACAGGTGAGATGAGACCAGTTTTTTTTTTAATTGAAAATTTCCACATTCGATCATCATTCCAAGTTAATTGAAAAATTAGTTCATAAACAATTGTTTGGGGACCTGGGGTCAGGTGGGGGTTATTCTGAATTTGTGTTATGGAGCCCAGGAATTGGGTCTGGTTGCTAATAAGCCCTCAGACATCATTAAGTCACTTTCTGCCTTTTCCTCCAGTGGGTTTTTAGAGGGTCTTTAATTTATGGCTTCTTTTAATCCAGAAATCAATGATCCAACAGGTTTCATATGATCCCTAATTGAGAAGGCAATAAAGGATAAAAGAGGGTGTCTGGAAAATAACAAGCTATGTATTTTATAATTAAAGAGTGGTTAATGCCTTCTCCAGGCTCCACAGATACATTATGTTTAATGTAATAACAATATAAAAGCTAGAAAAAGAGGAAAACAAGCCCCTTTGGTCTTTTCAAAAGGTCTAAATAGATCTTAAAAGTGTGTGGCATGCTGTGGAAATTTCATCCTAGGACATGTTGCTACAGAAAGCCCCAGTGAATAGCATACAAAACCACTCTGTGTTGCCCCACGGTGTGTTTCTTTTAAGGGAGAGGAATAAGGTCAAAGAAAACAAGCCAGTAACAGCACCCATGCTCCTCTGCTAATGACAAGGAAAAAAACAGGCCCTTATGCTGAACTAGGTGTCTCTCCTGAATGAACTTTAGGATTTAATCAGCTAGAGACTGTTAGCCCATGACCCAAGCCCTTATCCTTTTTCCTCTTGATGCAGAACATGCACAAGGCACTGTGATGTTCGGTGCTTCTCAGGCACTAGTGAGAAGACAGAACTGATTATCAAACATTATCAAAGTTCAGGAAGACCCTTCCCCTGTAGCATATGACACAATGTTAAGATCAACTGCAAACGAAAGCTGTGGAATGAGTCTGCTTTGGGTTCAAATCCTAGTTACACTTTATTTGCTGTGTGACTTGAGACAAATTACTTTACTTCTCTGCACTTTGAGTTTTCTTTTCTATGTAGTGGGAATCTGAATGGTATTTATCTTATGTAGGTGTTTTGAGGATTTAAAGGAGATAATTCACATAAATCTCCCTGCACAGTTTAAGCATTTAATTTAGCTGTGGCTATTTCTAATAATATTATTTGTAAATGTGCAATTCAGATAATCTCAGATATTCTTATGCTGAAGGAAAGAAGGGGACCCCATACAACATTTTAATTTTTTTTCCTGCTGGGATTCAACCCAGGGTCTTAGTACTAGATAAGCACTCTACCACTGAGTTACACTCCTAGCCCTTTAAAATAATTTTTATTGTGCATACAGTAAAATGCATACATATCTAAAGTATAGAATTGATGGATCTTTAAATATTTTGACACCCACGTAACTACTACCCCAAATTAAGAAACCAAATATTTCTAGCACCCTAGATGGCTCTTGTGCCTCTTCCAATCTATATCCCCCACCAATGGAGGGATCACCATTCTGACTTGTGTCACTGTTACAAATCGGTTTTGCCTGCTTTATACTTTTAATTTTATATAAACGGAATCACACAGCACATACTCGTTTGCGTCTGGCTTCTTTCACACATCATTATGTCTGAGAGATTCAACCAAGTTGTTGGATCCAACATAATATAGGGTTTAATGTCTAGCAGTCAGTTGTACTCTTTGGAACAAATTGTCTCACATTGGAACAAATTGCAGCATACTGGGTGGCATGCGGCATTGCTCCTGCACGGAAATTCCCAGATTGTCCTAAAAGGTTTGCAGGGCAGCGCCTCCAAAAATTCTGTACCTGGGGGAGTAGTGGGCTCAGTGTTCCAGTGTAGCCTTTACTGTAACCCATCCAGCATTTCACAAGCAGAAATAGATACAGGATTTGTGAGATTTGCCACCAGGGCAGCATCTGTGCTGTCAGGTGGCTTGGGTACTTACCTGTGGAGTCTGTGTATAAATGCCAGAGATGCTGTCTGCTTTCACAGTGGCCTGAAGCCAGAGTGACAAAATGCTTATGCAATTGAGGCCACAGCCTGGTTTTTGAAAGTTGTTGGGGCAGACATGGGTTCATGAGGCTCTTCCTTCCTATAAAATCCTCATTTGATAAAATTGGAAGCAGGTGGAAGGTGTGGAGATATTGGCTTTCTTGGTCAACCCTCATTGGACTTTTAAAAGTATTTTATCCTGGGCACATTTTCATGAAAACCTTCAGGTCAGTCTTCAAATGTCTCCTGGATTAGGTGCCTGGAAAACTAATAACCCTGAGGCCAGTAAAGCACAGCTGTGATGTAGGCTGCGTTTAATGAGAGGCATAAAAGCCACACTGTGATTATTCGGAGAGACTAAGCAACTTCTAGTGAAGAGAGCAGCCGGAGGCCAACTGGGGAGCAGTGCAAACAGGACTAGTCAGGCAGCCCCAGTTGTCTTCTTCCACTAATGAGCTTGTAATTTAACCCAGTTACTTGACATCTTTGGACCTTAGACTCCTTAGCTGTTTCAAAAAACAAGGTGACTGCGTTTCATGATCTGCCCTCCTTCCAGTCTAACATAGTCTATCTTTTGAAACTACAAATAGAATATTCTACATTGCAGAGTGCTAATTGGATCATCCTGATTATGGTGGCAGTCTTGCCAGTGAGGCAGTAAACTATGACTTAGAGAATTATAGAATTTTACAGCTGGTGGAGACTTTGGCTGAAACGCCCCATTTTTATAAGTCAAGAAAACAGAGATTCTGAACGTGCAAGTGACTTGCTCAAGGACATCCAGACGGTTATTTGAAAAACTAAGGCCATTATTCTCCAAACCTGAGGCTACCCCACTTTAGAAATATACCCAGCTGCTTCCCTCAGAAGAATCGCCTTAAAAATCATATCCTTTCTCTAAAAATCTTGATTCTACTGTTATGGCTCATAGAACGTTGGGAACCTTAGCAGACCACAGAGAATGATTTGGTATTAATGGATTGCTTTACCAGCATACTATCAGTTTCTTCAGGAATTTAGAATTAGCTATGCTAGTAGCATCTTGTAAGCATTTCATTTCTCTCTAGTTTTTAGTAGAAATCACAATTTGTGTTTCAGTCTAGATGAAACATGTTAGTTGAAATTAAAATGGCACTGACTTCCCACATCCTTAAAATGAAAGCATTCTCGCACTTGGTGGCATTGGACCTAGTTAGGAAGGATTACTTTGGGACAATTGGTTAAGAAGGTTGTGGTTGGAAGAGTTATTAGCCAGCCAGACCCCAAGGACAGGTTTTTTTTTTTTTCTTTTCGTCATTGCAGCTAATGGTTTTGGAGTTTTGTCCCACTGAGGACTGGTTCACTGGCAACCAATGTTGGTTGGGTCTAAGGAGCCGTCTCAAAGTCCACACTTTGTTCTTTCTTCACTGAGTAAGGCAATATTTTGAGAGAGGCTCTGTCACTCTCTGCCTGGGTCTCTTTCTGGGCAAAGAGGATGAAGAGATTCTTTTCCATCTCTACCTTATTTCAACCCCCAGAAGATTGAAATGGGGAGATTCATTGTGGACTCTGATTTACAAATCTGTGACAGTCTTAGTGTTTCTCAGTGAGAGGTCATTTATTTATTTTTAAAGTTAGGAAACTTTTTGCACAAATATTCTTTTATTTTTAGCATGTGTTAGGCGTAGGGAAGTGTGGAAGGTTCATCGTCCAGGCTTAGTGGATTTG